TGTGCCCCGCGGGCATAAAAAAAAGTAAATGAAATAAATACAACTGCAAAGAAAATGTAATGCTAAAGTGGACTCATTAGGCTACTTCAAAAGCTAACCTCATAATCTCAGCCCCAGGGCAAAAGGTTCAATTACAGAACTAGTTCCTTAAATTAGATGAAAATAACATAAATTTGAAATCTCGTAAATGGCAGGCACTTAAATCATTCGGCTGCCGAATAAACTAGAAACGAAGTCTGACTTGAGATTTCCTTCAAGCTTACTGCTCATTTATTTTGTCCGTCAATCACTTATCATCAATCTGGACTGGTTGCTCAATCAGAAACAATAGTAATAGTTTAATCAAGCCACAATATATTTTTGTATATATTTCAACAGACACCTTCAATCATTTAATCAAACAATTTGTTTGTAACGCAAGCTCACGCGCATTGGCATGAATTGTGACATCAATCATTTCGCATCAATCTACTGTCAATCAAGACATGCCTGCTCATTAACAATCTAGAGCGTTTATACACAGCTTTGGCTAGTTTCACGGCTTTCAGCCTATTATTGTAGACTTACAGGACTTGTCCATCAATCTTCTCCATCCATCAACTACCATCAATCAGGCCATGTGTTCGTATTCGAATTTTAAGCTTATTTTTTCTGCTCTACAGTTCAACTTTCAGCTTTTGTAGTAATACATTTTTGATTTTCGACAAGCCGTGACCTTCAATCAAAGCTTTTAAGCCTCATCAACAGCTTTTCGTGGAGCTTTCCGCTATTATTCTAAATTCTTTTTCTAGTTAAGATCAGTTCTTCAACTACAGGCTTTTCTCGTACCAGATTTTGCTATTCATCCCCTAAGCTCAATCAAACCTAGCTCTTCAATCATTTACTTTCCTTAATCCAGCGCATTCAAGATAACTGGGGGCTATTATTTTCGAACCTATCTTTGGCTATTTTCAGCATTTCGCAGAAGACACCTACCATCAATCTCACCTAGTCGCTCAATCAATGCTCATGACCTTTGCTCCACTTACGAGCTTTTCAGCAAAGCTTTTAGCCATCATTCAAGCCCAATAACCGCAAAGCTTAACCCCGCCATTAGCTCACAGTCCAGAGCCGGGTGGAGGCTCGTTAAGCGCCTGTTAATGACGCAATTTCCGTGCAGTGACCACCGTGTGCGACCTTTGGGGTCAGAGCGGTGACCAACGTACAGCATATACATATATCGTATTGTATATACGTAGATATTGGAGTGCACACAACTTCCTCTTCTGGCTAATTAGCTTAGCGCCGTTAAACTGTTTGCTTGTTGAACTACACGAGTCGCACATTTCTATGGCATCGATGCGAATTGCCCGCCTTCAGTTGCCCAACGTTGGGCAGTTCTTGCACTCCATCTTGTTTGCTTCTTTTTTTGTTTTTGGTTTGGGTCCTGCTGGGGTGTGGGTTTTGCCAAAATGGCAGACAATAAATAAAGCACACACAAAAGGAAGGGCACAGAAAGGGGTTGCTGCTGGGCGGCTGCTAGATAGCTCGAATTGCTGTCTCCAAAACATGCCGCAAGCACAAACATATTTGATGGGAGAGCCAGAGACCCTTAAAGGACATTCCGCTACACACACTTCCAGGCCATTACACTGAGAAATGTGACACAATTTGAATAACATTTAAAATATATAAAATTGAGCATCAATTCGGTCCAAGGAATGGTCGCCGAAGTGGTTCTTAAACCCACCAAGCGAACCAGATACTTCAAAAAAAGAAAGAAGAAAACAAATGTAAGCAATAGTAGAATGTTTTCGATTTAAGCATATCCTGTATTTAGTGGCGTTTCTTGCAATTTTCTTGGGATATGCTACAAAGTAAGTGTACTCACAACTGAGACTATTATTTGTGAGTTTTCGAGCGGGACAAAGTGGGTGGAAATATGGGTAAAAATTGGAATAACTGGAAAGTAGGCATATCCATTGTTCTCCATCAGATCATTTGACCTGATTGATGCCTTTTAAGTAGCTTCAGATGCTTTGTGCTCAAAGAGTTTCTCTTCGTTATTCACTGTTATATAGCTTCTGTTATACAGCTACTGTCAGATGCTGCCTGTTAAATACAATTTAACAGATTGTCAACGTAAGCAAATTTGCCTCATTTGACATTCCTTCTGATATTTTCCTTGTGCTAAGCAATTTCGTTATATAGCTTCTTTTATATGTCTTCTGTTATACAATCTTGTATATATTACATTCTGTATACATACTGTTATAAATATGTATTCTGTTATAGAACTTTTGTTATATACCTACTGTCATACAATAACTATTATATACAGCCTTTTATATATACGCCTCGTGCTCTGCAATTTCGTTATATATCTTTCTGAATATGTATTCGAATCCGGTACTTACATTCTGTAATAAATATATATGTTATACAATATCTGTTTTATATATTTTCAACCATTAATATACGCACTGTTCTAATCATATTTACAGGGTATTAAGAGATCCAAATACGCATGTTATAAAACTTGATTTTGGGATCTTATGTCGCATTTGGGTGCCTTTTATTTCCGCTCTTATGTCATTAAGTGGCGTCCTATTATACATTGAAGCACAACTTTACAGGGTATAAACGAAACGAAACAGCTTGAAATTGTAGAGCAGCCCCGCTCATTGTCTGCAGCAGCGCCTACACATGTTGCTGTCGTTGTCTTTTGGGCAAGGGAACTGAATGAATCTTTGGGCTTTCGCTCGTCAGCGTCTGTGTCTGCGGCCTTTTCCACTTTTCTGGTTTTCTTGCTTATTTTCTTTTCTTGTTCTTGTTGCTGTTTTTTTTTGTTTTTTTTGTTTTTGTTGTTTTTGACTAAATTGCGTAAATTATTGGCATATGTTGTCGAGGCGAGCGCAATGAAACATTTTAACCCTTTTCGTTGGCTGCGTCGAGGATGTCGCTGAAATTGACAGTCGCACATTGTTGGGGCGCGGCTGGTAACAAGCGGAAGATGGGCACCGAGGACGGGGGCAGACCGCGGAGCGGCCAGATGGATGGTAGGGGGGTAGGGGTAGGGTAGAGTGAGGTTCAGTCAGGGGCAGCCAGATACTTTGGCATGGCATTTCATTCCAATTTAGCGCCCGCCCGCCCTGCCTCCGGCTGCCAGTTGGCTGTCAGTTTTGCTCGCTTCGTTTTCCTTGCCTCGCTCCTTGCTTTTCCTTTTCTTTCCATCGTCTTGTTTTTTTTTTTTTGTTTTTCTTGGCTTTTTTGTTTTTTTTTTTTTTTTATCATTTATTCCCATTCTTTGGCATTTTATGTGCGCTATTTCGCGAAGTAGAACAATAGCCCGACACTGCAAACTGGAAGTGGAGCTGGGAAATGGGTTTCGTTTTGGATGCCGCCCGACTAGCTGGTCCCGGCCTGCTGTTCGTAGGACCTGCTGGCCCATTCATCCTTCTGGTGCTGATGCTGCTGCTGCTTCTGCTTCATCTTGGTGCTCTCTTTTGTTACAACTAAACGCGGACTCCGCACTATACTTCATCTGCGGCAGCTACTTTTTTAGCGAGACACCCGACAATGCCACCATGCCCCTGCACCTCTCCACCCCCCACCATGCTTCCACTCTCTGGACACCCCTTTGGCTGCTGGTGTTATCCAACTTTATTGTCTTGCCAAAGAAATAGACTTTTAATATACCCGGAGCCTAGCACGGCACACAATACATGGACTACCATTATAGTGTCTGTGTGTGTGGAAATATTAGGCGCTTTTGCCAGTTCATTGACTTGCCACAACAATAGTTTGAAGTTTGTCTGCCAAAATATGAGCGAACATTTTAGAACCTACCCAGAAAGAGGGGGCGGGACAGAGGCGCAGGACAATTGCGAACATTGCTGGAAACATGAAACCATATACGGCATGGCCCAGGCAAAGTTGAGCCAATAAACGAAGGGAACTAAATCGAAATAAAAAGAATCGAAACGCAATCCCAGCAATTGGGGAAAAAAAAGGGACAGAGAGAGCGAAATCGTGAAAGGGAAGAAAATTATCCCTAGGTAAGGCAGGTGAAAGGCGAGATCCGCAGCGATATGATATGATCTGATAGGCCAAAAAATAAAATAAAATATATATATATAGTACTCACATATAAAAATCGGGAACAGAAAATGAGACAAAAACAATTTGTGGGAGGGCGAAGGTAAAATACAGTAGATAAACCATAAAACTTAGAGCAAAACATAGCATAAAAATAGTTCAATGATTTTGTGCCAACATATGGAACAGGCAGAAGAGTGCATAAACCTGATCAGGACGATCAGCTTAGACGGTCGAAACATGTCCGTTTGTTTATCTGTCTGGATGCTTCGAGTTCGGATACCGTAAAGGCTATTCTCGTATATAACACGCAGATAATTTATACGATATATTGGCACATTTCTATAGTATCGATAACTATCGATTTTGTGGCATATCTCGAAAATTTAAGAGCAAAATACACCAAACTTGTTATGCAGGTTTTGCCATAGCACACACACAAAAGGATTACTTCACTTTCTTGATAACTTTCCTCATTTTCGGACAGAGAAGAAAAGTGCAAAATGTTGAAAGTAGAGCCCTGCGCTTTGGTATGTAACATACATGCAATTTGGTGCCAAATTCTCTCTCTGAGAATTTCATAAAGTTCGAACTAGAAACAACCAAGTTAATCAAGAACGCCTTTCACAGACTGTGGGTCTCTAAGGGCAGAAGCACTGTATCGAATGAAGCTGGATTTTTTGTAAGGACAGCTTAGCGCTAGGTTCAGTGCTTCGAGCACTTCCGACCAGAGCACACTTACTTCTCTTTTCTTCAGGCTTTAGTACACGCCTAATCTTTTTATGTGAATAATCCTTTTTCTTGCTTTGCATCAAAGAAAGAAACAACACATAATCTATAAATGTAGAAAAAGATGAAACAACATATAATAAGCTTTAAACATGAAATCTACATAATTTTTTGTTTGTCAAAGTTGGCTTTTGGGCAACCGGAAAAACACAGAGCAGAAGGCTAAAGGCACATAATAACATCGAAATTCGAAAGCTAAAAAAAAATTAATTATTTTTTTGGTTAAACAATCAACCAGAAGCCCCATCTGAGCAGAGCGGGTCGTCCGGAAAAGCAGCCAAAAATTGAGATGTCTGACAAGCAGCAAAAGCAGCCAGCGAAGCCAGCAAAGGCGGCAAAGCCAGCAAAGGATGCGAATCCGGGCAGCAGCGGAAACAGCAATACGCGACCCAATGCCAGCCAGATGGAGCAAACGGAGAATACGAATGTGTTTAAGCAGCTCTTTGCCACGCTCGAGGCAGAGCACCAGAAGCTACAGGATCTGGAGCAGCGTCGTCTCAGGCTCACCGAAGAGATGAAGAATCTGCGCGAAATGCTGCAGCAGGAGAATCGCAGGCTGCGCAGCAGCTCCGAGGAGGCCCAGGCCCGTAAAAATGCCACAGCAGGATCAGCAGCAGCCGGAGCAGCGACCAGTTCTCCAGTTGCCAAAAAATCGAAGAGCGTGCAAATAGCCAAACAGCCACCAAGTGAGTATATGAGATCACCAGCGCTAAATAGCTGCATCTGCTGCTAAATTGACAACCGATTTACAGAAGAAATCGCCAATCAACATCAAATGCTCGACATGATTGACCAGGGCATGGACTTGAACACATTGGATAATCAAATGGCTGGGCGTGCCGGCAAGGAAAAGCTGCAACTGTTGCCAGCAGATCCCAGCGAGCCAATCGGCCCACAAGCGTCCGAAGTGCTCATCCAGCTGATCGATTCGAACTCAGCCTTGAGGCAGCTGCAGACAATCGAATTGCCAGCGCTGTGGCATACGCCCGTCAGCTCAGTGGATCTGGAGTCATTTATACAGATGTCGAACACATCCGTGGCCCAATCAAGCACTGAGGAGTCTAGAGACGCCGCGGACAGCGCCGCCGCTGAATGAGTGCGTCGATAACAGGCTAGATCGTTTGAGGTGCTCAGTATACCCATATACTATATATACCAGGGTACCCAACATAAAGTTCACTAACAAATTTTAGTATTCAATGTTTGACATAAGTACACGAAAGCCAACCTGATCAGACTGTAAAACAACGAATTGATTTCTATTCAATGGGTGGACACACTAGATACCCTGCATACTACCTCAATACTACTCAACTGAGAGCAAAACAAACCTAGAAGTAAAACATAGATGTAGTTCTCAATTGCAAACGTAAGCAGTTCTCGGCTAATGGATCCCAAGGCCCAAGGCAAGTCCAGGGATAACGTGTTCTCCTTTTCTTCCAAGCTTAGGCAAACAGAATTTAATTATAATATCTTTCTTGATCAGATATTACGAGCTCTAGAAACATTTCAATGACGTCTTCTCTTTTTAAACAATTAAATATACAATTTTTTTTAACGCCCCATGAAATAGGTCTATTATTCAATATACTGAATTATATTTCATTTTTATTTTGAAATTTTTTATTAAGGCTTTCCGAATTTGAATTATTTATCGCGCTTTTGTTGCTTATAATTCTCAAGTGGTTATAGCTTCAGACTGAGGACAAGGCCTTACAAATCGAGAACCTTTTTTTCTCTCTTTTCTTCTCTCTACTATTTCTATTTTCCTCTCTCTTATTCTCTCTTTTTTCCTATCACCTGTCTCGTTTTTCTTCCTCCCTTTTTTGCTCACTTTTTCTTTTACTCTCTCTTTTTCCGTCTTCCTCTCCTTTTCCCTCTCTCTCTTTTTATCTCTGTATTTTTCTTTCCCCTTTCCTCTGTCCCTTTTTCTCTCTCCCCCTTTTTCTCTCGCTCTTTTTCTGTGTCGCTCTCCTTTCTCTCTCCTCTTTTGCTCACTCTCATTTATTCTTTCTTTTCCCTCATGCTCTCTTCTTCTCTGTTGTATTGCTGTGCGTTTTTCTTGTAATTTTTATTCAATTTGTTGATCTTTGTGTTTCGTTTTGTTTGACTTGGCTCCTGCTGCCGTTGGTGCCGCCAGTTGGCGTCCGTTTCCAAAACAAATTAGTTGCCAACTGTCCGAAACAAATGTTGCGCACGCCCCAGCTGCCCACTACTGACCTCCACCCCCCGCACACCCGCACGTATGTACATATATATACTGGATGTATGTATATATATTTTCTATATATAGAGGAAATCATATCAAGCTCAGCATTTCAATCATAATACTCCTGATGAGCTGGCCACTGGTGGTGCAGGGTGGTCTAGGGTGGTGCATGGCTGGGCATTGGGCAATCTCCAGTGGGACTGCTGAACGTTTGGGCTGGGATATGCCTGACCGAGGCTCGTGGTGTTTGTGTGTGTGTGTGTGTACACAAGTACGGGGCATGTGCTGGGCATATTGATTGGTGGCCAGTACCCCCCGCCCCCTCGCTCATAGGCACAGTAAGTGCAGCCTGTAGAGCTGAGAGAGGCGTCTCCCGTGCACTGTAGGTTGTTGCCATTTTTATTATTATTATTCAATTTTTTTTTTGTGGCTACCTCAGGCTGCCTGTGCGACTAGGTCAAGAGGTCAGGCCACGTGTACTGGCTGGGCGGAAGGGCGTAAAATTTGTCAGTGGAAATGCGCACTCAAGTGAGCGGGCAGCGGGGGATTGAGAGCGTAGGCATTCCTTCATGTGCCATGCAAATTTCACTGCATAAAGTTTGTGTTTGCAACATGCCCCAGCCCCACGCCCCCTCAAGACCGCCTGCCGCCATGATGGCTGCCATATTTCGCATATTTTGCCATATTATTTTAGTTGTTGTATTTTTTTTCTGCCAGCGCAAATGCACTTGAAGTTTTGTCGTTGTTGCTATTGTTGTTGTAGCAGGAAGCCGGAAGCCGTAGCCGTAGCCGAACCCAAACAGAACGCGGAACTTCTTGCAAGTAAACTAAACCAAACTAAACTCAAACTCAAACCCGAACTCGAGCCCAAGCCCAAGCCCGAGCCCGAGCCCGAGTCGGAGCCCGCTGAGCGAAGCAAACAACTTTTGCCTGCAGCACCTGTCCCCAAGGGGGAAGGGGCAAACCAACAACGCCCACAGAAATTACTTATGTATATTATTGTTGTTCCTAGTCGTCGAAGCAAGGGGAAGGGCTCGAGGCGGGGAGGGGGACTCGTGAAGTAGGTCATTAGGGGCGTTCTTGCTGTCCGCCCGCTGGGCTACTTGAATTATTAAATGTTTGTTCATAGAGAACATTTCCCAGGACCTGCCAGTTGCAACGACGTTGAAATGCTGAAAAGTTTCCAAAAAAAAAAAAAAAAAAGCAAAAATAAAACGGAAGAGAATCAAAAACTCTTGCGGGACTCTTAAATTCAGTTTGGAGTATACCCTGTACACATTAGAAATGGGTATGCAAGATGAACAGACCCCAGCTAAGCATGTCGAACTGTGCGCATTCACACTCGGGAACTACAAGAGCTGGAATTACCAAATTTGGTGCATGTAAGGATTGGAATGTAATTTGAATATTTTTTATGTTTTAGAACAATCGCTTAGTAGACATAAAAGTTATATACAAAGGAGAGTGCATTCGGGCACCTTGAGATAAGGCTAGGGTATCCTCTAGTCTAGCACTTTAAACTAGCTTCTTCTTACTTGTTTGTATGCTTCAGTTGTAACCGTTTAAGTGCAAGTTGACGAGCAGCAGTTGGACTCAGTTGCAATCATATCTTACCAAAGCTTTGCGTAATTTAAAAACTTCAATGTGCGAAACTTACCTGAGGAGAGGGAGAAGAGGGCAAGAGGAAACATTATTAGCAACAAATACGAAATGCAGCTTAAGAAATTGTGAATTAAGTAACTCGGCATTAAATATTCGAAATGTAAGCTAAAGCATTAAGAAAACCTTAAGAAAGAAGCTTATTTGAAATAAATTACGATTGAAAATTGATTTATTTATATTCTATTTAACTAATTGACATTTAACAATGCACTCGACTGGCAAATACCCTAGAGTTAAGTTAATGATAACTTGATAACTTAAATTTAATAAACTATTTGTTGGCAACTATATAGCTAGGCTTAGGCTATTTGTTCTTCGGCATTCAGAAAGACATAATTCTAGATGGTTATTTTCCTGTCAGGTAGGCCTTCTTCATGTTTACAGGGTATAAGCTCTGTTAATTTAAGCTGCTTTGCATTTACCAAACTTTTACTTCAGTTGAAATACAAATAAGTTAATTTAAAGTATACTTATGGAAGTCACACACACGCACGCAAACACACATCTATACACATCTGTCTATATTTCAATAATAATCTGCATTTGTGCAGGGTAACTGTCTGTGGCAGGGTGGACCGTACACGGGGCTGGGCAATCATATGCATATGAGCTGTGCCACGTTCTCTGCTCGCATTGAGGTTGTCCAATAAAATGTAATTGGAGTTTTCATTTAATAAACCGAAAGAAAAGAAGAAAAAAAAGCAAAATAAATAATAATAAACGAAGCAGCGCACAAAAATTCTAACCCGGTTTGCATTAGGCAGGCGCCCCCTTTCACGAGTTGCCCCAAAAGAAAAAAAACGTTGCATACAAACAGGCGGCGTCTAACTTTGTGGAGTATCTCTCCCTCTCCGCCCCCTCCCTCTCACTCACTCTACTGCTGCCTCCCACCCCCTTCATCTCTATCTCTGTGTATTGTTGTGCACACAATGTATCCACTAGAGCATCATCATAGATATATCCACTCAGTCGTTGTTATTGTTGTCAAGAGCATGGGCTACCCTACTCTTTGCCTGCCTCTCTCTCTCTCTCTCGCACGCCTTCTCTCCCTTTCTCCACTCAGCTGCTGGCACGCTGATCATAAAACTCACTCAAGTAAAAGTACGAATGGTTTTCGATATGAAATGCATGAAACTGACAGCCGAACATATTGCGCCGCATTTTTACCACACAGCAGAGTCGCCTCCAATTCCAGCTGCACCACCCCCACACCCCACACCCCCCCCCCCCTCACGCTCTGTAGCCAGTTTCCCGACTGACTGACTGTTGGCTACCATTTGGCCATTGCCTATCACTGCCACCCTCCGCTCATCCTCTCGACCATCTGCGATTCCCGCGCTCTCCTTTTTTGATATGCGAGATATGAGCCCGAGCGCTTTTCCTATCAAACACCTTCCCGCTCCCTCACCCAACTGCACCACCGCCAGAGGCAACCAGCTACCCGCTGGATGCTGCGGACTGAGGCTATTTGACATTGTTGAAGCTTGTTTTATGTAAAGGATATACACAATTTCCATATGCGACACACGAACTTCGCGTCGTCCGTCGTCTCTCGCACCACCCACATTTGATACTATATGCAGTTAACCCACACAACCATCTACACCACCCGCCGCCCCGTCACCCACCCACGTTATTGTATCAAAATGCATTTTGTACACTCGACAAGATACTCGCGCACATTATATGAAACGTTCCAATCTTAATATGCAACTAGGCAACACAGCAGCTGATTGCAAGGTGGAGGGGGGAAGGGTGTTCAGACGGGGACGGGGTATTGTGGCGCAGCGTTGCCACTTGGGTTCATGCTTGTACGCGGACTCAGCCTTAACATTCGTGTGCCTGAGAATGAAATTGGCATAGAGCAGGGTATTCACAGTAGCTGCTAGCTTGCTAACTTGCTAGCTGTGCTGACTTTTCAGCAGAATACGTGTATCTGTGAAGGCTGTTCTATGTGAATTGCACTGAATCGAAGTAGACGGACGGACGGTTAATGCTGTGAGAGAATTCTGTGACAATTAGCAAAGAGACAGAAAAAAGGAACAGAAACAAATTTGATAATTGAATTCAATTTTTACCAAATCATTTCTATAGCAGCTATATAATATTCAGGTCAGATACGACCGATTGTGGCAACAGACAAATGGATCTATGCAAAGTTTCGAGACTATGAAAACTGAAACTCAAGAAACAAACAGACGGACATATTTATATCGGCACGGCAGATAAAATGAACAAGAATCTTTATATATATATTTATATGATGTCAGTGTTCAGACCTAGCAAGTTAGCATTTTGATTATAATTCCCAAGTGGGGAAATAAAGCGAAAGTCTGTTAAAATTAGGCAGAGTTAATGTTTTAAATACTTAACAGCTGCAT